TCGATTACGTCTGTAAGAGTATATTCTTTTTGTTAATATTATTTGATTAGTCAATAATTGTTAAGTTGAAAATCGCGATAGAATGCAATACTCGTAAAATATCGCGAAATGAGCGAACCGCAATATTTAGTGCGCAAAATCTGTTGAAATCACGAGTCTTTGAGAACTGGGCCCATTATTCCTCAAAGCGAGGTAATTTTATGATCACTCCCGCCGGCTTCGCAACGATAATCATGATCGCGCGATTTACGAACGAGTTATGCGGAATGGTAGAAATGACAGTAATCAATGAATTGGCATTTCCCACATCCAGGCGGTATCCACCTCAGTAAGGATATCTCAATGGTGTTAGAATGACAGATAGACGGCACGATTCGCTAGAAACGGGCGTTGCACGCCAGTCGTCGAAACAATTATTAGTCGAAGCGAGGTGAATACGACATACACAACGAGACCTGGGTATGTCAAGTAATGGCCTTTTGTTTACCAGCCGATCACTGCGCACCAGGGATTTCGTAAAACCGTCTACCATAATAGTATCCTAATGCGCGAAGCATGTTACGGTGTCTGCGAAGTAAGTTTCTCTCCGCAGAACCGGAGTAATGGAGAGAAACTGAAGCGGGAAGATGGTACGCAGAATTTTCGTGAGGTAGAACAAGAAATGGTAACTCTGATATGTATTCTACAGCACACTTACAACTAGCGCAGAACGTGCTAGAACGACTAACTCGATTTCAATTCCACTTCATATCGAGAAACAAAACAAGACGGATAATACAAAATATTATAAATTCTCTATTTCGAACAAAATTATGATAAATTACAATCACAATATGCGATCTTTTTATTAAAAATGTTGAATAGCATCACAAAATGATCACAAAAATCGCAGTTTTTATATTTTATTATTTTTAATTAGTATACAAGGTTTTACTGAAGTATCTAAAAATTTGAATACAGATCTAAAAATATTGTTGTTAGATTGTCAAAATAATTACGTAGGACGCTTAAGCTATTTACTATAGAATGTTGAAAATTGAATGGAAAAGACGATTTTGTTGAAATATCTAAAAAATTTAGGTACATATAGATCTAAAAATAATTCTGTTGGACTATCAAAATAAAGTATGGAGGAGATTCGAACATGATGAGTAATGCAGCAAAAAGTTGCAACAATCTAGCAATCAGTTCAAGTGTCCTACGTAATTATTTTGACAATTCAAAACACAAAAATATTTTCATAAAACAAATTTATATACAGTTAAATTTTTAGATACTTCAACAACTGTTTTTTTGCAGTAATAAAACATAGTAGAACTGCGATATTTTTGTGATAAACTATTAGATTATTACCTTTAGTAAAGAGATCACATACTGTGATAGTAAATTATCATAATTTTGTTCAAGTATCAAATGCACAGTGTCTTCGATTAAAGAAAAAAAATAAACATTCGTTTGCTCTTCCTAATTTCCCAAAAATATGCACAAGGTACGGCAACCAACCTGATAAGAGAAAAGGAAACGAAGGCCTCAGGGATTTCTATAAGTATAAGCGAGCGTCTGCGGGTTGAGCACCGCGATCGCGCCGCGTCTCGCTCGAACCATGGACCAGACAAAAGATCCTGGTTCTCACGACCACGCCCTCTCTCCTCGCCGCCTGTGCCCCTCGCCAGACGGCGGCGATGCCTTCACGAAGGTATCTATCCACCGGAAATTCCTAAAGCAACCACCATTGCCGCCGCCGCCGCCGCCGCCGCTGCCGCGCCACGTCGTGCATATCTACACGGTCAGGAACGGAACGGAATGAAACAGAACGCGTGGAACGGCGCGACCTCCTCCAAGCTTCTCTCGTGACGCGGTAATAAATGACCGGGGTTGTATGTATACGCGGGGCGCCCGTATACGAGAGCGGATAAAAGTGCGAATCTTTTCTTCTACCCCTCTCCCCTCTTCTCACCCCTTCTCACTCCCGCTGTTGGACAGAGGCACCTCCTCGGCGACGTCGCGGAAAGGGTATCGAATTTCCGCGAGGCTCCACGGTCGTGAATCCTAGCGTGCGAATGCCGGCGACCTCTGACCTCGACGGACCGCGGATCACGCGCGTGAAAAATCCTAGCGGAGGATAGCACGGCGCCACGCCGTGTGTGCCTCTTATCTGTTGCATCCTGCAGTATGCAGAAGAGTCCACAGCATTTCCGATATAAATTCGCGAAACACGGCAAACTAACGCGATTAAATCGACGACTGTCATTAATCGATATCAATCATTGATAACGAAATCAGGAATTTTCGTTTACAATTAAATAATTCGTGCGAAGAATTGATTTTGAAAATTGCCTTTTTATGTAGTAATTGAATGACAATGAGCTCTTGAGCTCGTAACTCGTAAATCTCCCAGCGAACAGCTACCGTGAACGGTTATACCATGTCCAATTCGAACGTCACGTAGATACTAAAGGAATGTTCGATGACTAACGATTTGCCGTCGACTTGACACAGCTGGGCGACAAGTTGTCAGCTACCGTACGATCAACTTAAGCATTATTTTATACGATCAACGACGCACTCGCGATGATATATGGTAATAAGGTGCGAGTTTTGCACTGATTTAACGTGGGGAGATGGAGATAACGATTCCTGATTTCTACGTAGCGAAGTTTCTTTTATAATTGTAAGCAGAAAGAGATTTCCACATTCGCTCATTTCAAAAGCTCACATCATACTGCTTTGCTGAATGAGATCCTATATAATTTGTACGTAATTGCATACAATAACGACGAAGCGCTGTCCTCGCAATTAAATTCTTTCTCGTTAACTTTTTTCTTAAATGCTGTGTGTTTGTTGATTTCGAGTGTCCTGCATAGATGATTATCTTTATGTAGTGTTTAAAAGTGATCCTACACGGTCAATAATACTGATCAGTAATATTGCATCAGTAATATTGAAAATGTGTATTAATATTTTAACTTTACACGATTATACATATATATAATATTATTGACAATATATTTCATTTTAATTTTACATAAGTATTACATTATCTATTGTACTATGACATGAATCCTAATAAAGCTGATACTC